GGAACACCCCAAATTCTTCTTCCAGTTCATCACTTTCTTCTTCTTTCACATTGTTACCTTATTCCATACAAGATATTTTTGGAATTATTTCAAGAAAAGTGGAGAAACAAAACTGACAGTGAACTTCTGGGAGACTTTTGTGTCTAGAGGGCCTAGCCGGTACTCTTTGGGGCCTCTTGACATCTTCTAGGTTCTCTGCAGCCCTAATCCACTGATAACTGACCAAACAGATCAAGTATTTCTCTCTACCTTGGAACTGGGATTATGACTTTGGTCCTCATTCAAGCTCAGTATCAACACATAAAATGTGAAGTTATGTAGGTTCTACATATGGCCCAACATATCAACTTGAGCAAATATCTCCAGGGAGAAGCTATTAGTTATTTCTTACTGCTAAAAAATTTCTCAAGACTTTGATATCTTAAAATAACAAACATTTATTATCTCTCAGTGTTTTGGGTCCAAGTTGTGGGAGCACTCAGTGAGGTTCTGAAGCTGCAATGAGCTCCCACTGAGGAAGCAGTCCTCTGGGGGCGGGAGACCCCCTTCCAGGCTCACTTGTTTGGTCTTGGCAGAGCCTAGCTCCTCTTGGCTGGACACTTCAGTTTCTCACCACTGGGGCCTTTCTGTCCACCACCTGCCTACCCTCATGATATGACAGTTGGCTGTCCCAAAAGTGAGTGATTCAAGAAAGGGAAAAAACCAGCCTAAGCCACAGTCCGTTGATAGCCCAGCCTCAGAAGAACTGTGCATCACCCCTTCTATGGCGCTCCATTGTTAGAAGGAGACTGTAAGCCCAGCGCACAGTGTGTGGGGGTGTTAATCTCTACCTCTTGAAAGGAGGAGATTAACATAGAATTGGTGGATATAATTTTAAAACCACCACAGGGACTCTGCTTAATCTCCAAGAGCCATTATGATACAGGGGTTAAAACTATAAGTTTGAGATGAATAAAAGGCCTAAGTTTAATTTTTTCCCACATTTGCTACATTGCCAAATTTTAGGCAAGTCACTTAATGTTTCTGGATTTCAATTTCTTGCTCTAAATGAGGGCTAAAAAAAATTGTACAGCAATAGTAAGATGTTTCATTGAGTTACAACAAGAATGAAATAAGAATTATGCCATATAAAGTACTTGGCACAGAATAATTACTTCATAAATATTATTTAATTGCTAAAGTAATAGAATAATATTATTGTTTGCCTCTACAACAGACAGTATAGTATGGAAATTAAAACTATAGTTTGCCTAGATTAGAACTCTGGCTCTGTCGTGTCTCAGAATGGGGAGAAGTTGCTGACTCTCCTGGCCTTGGTTTTCTGCAAAATCAAGATAATATCAGCATCTGATATATGTCAAGGTATATCAGAACCTAATAGGTGTTTGATAAATACATTATGAATAAGGACTATAATGACAAAGGGATGATGTGTGAACGTGTGTGTGTGTGTGTGTGTGTGTGTGTGTGTGCATGTGCACATGCAGGCTAGGGATGCTACATAAAGCACATTTGAATTTAAACACCTATGTTTAACTGGGCAGCTTTGTATGCCTGTCCCAGTTCTATTTGAGTGTGTCCTTGTACCCTTGAATGTGGTCTCCTCCATTAGCACCCTGGTTTTATCTTCCCTTATGGGATATTCTTGTTCCCATTGTTTGCACTCTTTCCCTCTAGCTTTGTCAGAGCATACTTCTTTCTTCGTCCCTGCTTCCTCCTCCAGGATATGTTTCACTGGCTTGGCACCTAGTCAGGGGATTTGGTGACAGGAGCGTGTGTGGGTGGTCCCATGTCACACCACCTCAGAGCTGCTACATTACCTTAAATTATTTTGCAAATGAAAGCTAAAAGCTAAGCAAAGGCAACCCATCCATTTTGCCTAAAGATGATTATAATGCTCTTTTATGGCCTCCTAAATGACAAAGCAATTTGTTACCTGCCTGCATCAACATTTGCTTATATTAGCACCAGAGACGCTTGATTTTTATTAGCCCCATGTTATCATTTTATGAAGACACAGGGGCTCAGTAAAATTAGTGTGCAGATAGAGTGCCCGTTTTGCATTTTCCTGTGGTCAGCAGAAAGGCTGAATGCAATTGAGTTGGTACCCGGTCAGGGGAGACATCCATAAAGATAGCCTTCACTGAGGCCCTTAGTGATGCCATTTATCATTTCTGGACTGCTGGGCTAGAGTCAGTGTTAAGTACTGTATTTTTAAAGAACTTGATGATGTATTTTTAAGTGAAAAGGTAATACAAATACTGAGACAGAAGCTCGGTTTCCACCAATAATAAGGAATAAAATCAAGCTCTTGTGTACACTGTAGATGGAAATGCAGCAGCTGTGGGATTCTATAATGTCATTAGGATGGTAGCTACAGCAGGAGGAAGACAGATGAGCGAAGGGAGCACTGGCTGGGAGCCAGGGCTTGACTGCCGACTGCGTGACCTTAGGCCTGGCCTCGCTGCCATGGGCCTCAGTTCCCTCGTGTTAGCATGGTGTACCTCAAAAAAGTGAGATGAAAATTTAGTGAAACGATAGCTATCCAAACTTCTTTACGAACCATGATCTATATAAGCATTTTATTTGTTAATTCAGCAGCCAGTTTGTAGGTATCTACTTCATATAATGTCCTGGGGATGATATTAGACACATCCTTCTCTCTCTCTCTCTCTCTCTCTCGCTCTCGCTCTCGCTCTCTTTCTCTCTCTGTTCCTAAATGTGCCTAACACAGCACTGTGCACAGGAGACGGTTTCCCATAGTTTAGTTCATGAAAGTTTTTTGCTTTTAGGGGAAACTGACTCCCCCCAGCCCTTATTGGTGACCCCAATTGGCCAAACAAATTACAAAACTTTAAACAATGTTGAATAGATTTAATATTTTTGTTCAGTCTCTGATATAGGTGTTGTTTTGGGATGATGAGCCAGATTCAATATGCCTATTACCAGCATTTTAGAAAGAGATAATCTGTTAATTATTTCTATACCCTTTCTCTCCAAATCATCCTTTAACATAGACAGGCTCCTTCAATCGAATTTACTTCATTATCTCTTCCTAACTTACATTCAGATCATTTTTCTATTCCATGTCAACCAGTGTCCCTATACCTACGACAGAGATGCTACCCCTGCTTTTTTGGAACTTCTCTCCTGACTGTTGTCTTTATCCAGAAATATATTTGCACAATAGCTAGGCTTTATTACACAGATTGCACTTCTTTCATAGAAGAATAACATGGCTTTTGAGTCGGGATCACATTCTCATTTTCTACACCCTTAATAGTTTTTTATTAAAGGTTGGGCATTGTAAGTCATACATTGTTGAATGTCTGGACTGGGTTGTCTTCTTTTAAAGAGAGTTGGGCTTCCTTTAGAGGGAGTATGGCAACAACAGCAGAGAGTATGACAAGCAGTGCTGTTTGCTCTGTTTGCTTCTTTTGACTTATTTTAAAACTTTATTAGAGTGAATTTAGAGTCTACCTCTACGAAATGATCCCTCGGATTCTCGTTCTCCCTGAATGACCTGCAAGGACTTTTACATTGTGTGCAGAGTAGTACTTTGTGCTTCTCTCATCCATATTTGAATTCAAATGACTTCAAAACCTGTGTGACCCCTGAGAACTGTGTACTGTTCAGCCCACCGGCCATTTTGCTCTGAAGAGTGGAGTATGTGACTCAGTTTTCCATCACGGTGACAAAATCCCTGAGGTAAACTAACTATAAGGAGAAAAGACCTGTCTTAGCTCATGCTATCAGAAGCTTCAGCTCAAGGGTACTTGAAAATTTGGCTTCTGGGCCTGTGGCAGCACAGTACAGCATGGTGGGAGCAGACAGCCAAGGAAACTGCTCACCCCATGGTGCTGGGAGGCAAAGACTAGGATAAATGTAAGGGCTGGAGTCCCAGAGCCTCCTTTGAGCATGTGGCTCCAGAGACATAATCATCGGTAACTAGGTGCTGCCCCTTAGACAAATCCACGAACTCTTAATGCACAGGTTGTGGACCAAGTTTCTAACACATGGGCCTTGAAGGGCAATTTGAGATCCAAACTGTAGCATAAAGATTTACCCTATGCATGTACATTTTAGGATTCAACAACGAGACAAGAAAACTCCTTTACAGAATTCCAGATTTCTTTTCTACACATCTCCCTCCTCTCTGCAGTCCACAGAGTTTCCCCACAACTGCCACCCACTGTGCTTGGATCTCAGTGAGACGTCCAGGCTCTGCCTAGCCTACCATCCCCTGCTTTCTGGTCTGCAGGGGACCACCAGGCAAAATGTGCCAGGGTGGTCAGAGTGCATGCCTCCATTGTTTCACTTTTCTTATCCAAGACTTACAAATGCACATTTGTTTAATTTTTCAGTTGCTTAAGGTGAAAGGGAAACCTGGTCCCTGGTACTTCATCATCTCCAAACAAACATTTAATCTGAATCTCATCCCCACTTATTAGCTCTGTGACCACGAACAAATTATATAACCTCTTTGAGTCTTGGTAAGAGGAGTATTAAATACATATTTCTATACAGAATGTGTGTGTGTGTGTGTGTATGTGTGTGTGTGTGTGTGCTGCTACTGTTACTATAAGTAGCTACTATGCTCATTCCATCATTTCCTAGGTGTTTGCTGAGTACTCTGTAATATGTCAGTTTGTTTAATCATCATAACAACTAACAAAGTAAATGTTATTGTCCTAGTTTGTAGAACACTGAACCCTGTACAGGATCAAAGTCAGTGGCTCTGATATTCAACTTCACTCATATAGCTTCTTTATTAATATGATATACAGCATTTCACCAAGTAGAGAGAATGCTGTCATTTCATAGTGAGTAACCAGAGACATAGTTGAATTAGTCAGCACTGTCTGGGCCTTAATGAGTCTAACATCAAAATTTAAGAGATCCGTGTATTTGGCCCATTCTTTGTGTATCTCATGCCCACGTGCTAATCTCTAATCTTTGCTTTTCTTACCCTCTTTACTGAATTCAATTTTATTTTACAGAAAATCTCCGGGAAGGGGCAGAGCAGAAGGTGATATTCATCACGGGCCGAGTGCACCCAGGGGAAACACCCTCATCATTTGTGTGCCAAGGTGAGTTCAGGATCCCAAGGATGCCCTGCCCTTGTCTCCCACATTCAGATGGAGTGCTGTTGGTCTTTTCATTTCTTATTTTTTTTTCAGGGCTGGGAATTGAACCCAGGGCCTTACATCTGCTAAGCAAGCAGTCTACCACTGAGCTGTACCCCCAAACCCTAGGATAATCTCTGAGACTGTAGTCACATGCCTCATTATCTTGGATGGAAACTTACTTCTTTAAAGAAGTTGCACCTGATGTCTGCTAGGTTTTGTTTCACTAAACACTTATTGACTACATGTATCTATAAATGAATAGATGGCTAGATAAAGGATAGGAAGAGGTGTAGAAAAGAAATCTATGTTGAGAATGAGCCAGACAGCGTCACCTACACTCCCTAGTTGTACTTTTCTCTAGTGATTCACAGCAACAAGTAATCCAGCCCCAGCTCACTGTAGACTGGAAGAAGGCTGTGAAATGGGAAGGGAATATGTATTCATTCATTCGTTCATTCATTCATTCATTCATTCACTTAACAAATAGCCTACACATATTTCTTTATAATTACATTTTAAATCATTACTAAATATTTAATCTCTATAAATATGTATTTAATTAGTGAGCTTTAGTTAACAATCCAAATATTTTTAATAAGTAAGACAAATAATACAATAGTGTGTGCCCAGGTACTCATCTGTTTAAGTACCAGATGCTGTCTGTCCCTTTTGAGCTCTTTGTTTTCCCTTCGTTTGCTCTTCCCACTGTTAACCATCAGCTTGAACTTTGCTTTGTTGTTCTTAATCTTCCCCAGCAGTTTTACTATGCATGTGAATATTCTAAACCACACATTTTTTAGCTTTACCAGCTTTTTAACTTTATAAAAATGCTACCACCGTGCCCTGAGATCTGCTCCCTGCTCAGTATCCCATGTGATGAGTAGAGTTGAGGCTCACTTATTGCTCGCCACTGCATCACATTTCATGTCTGTCAATAGCCCAGTGTACTTTTAATAAACTTATTTCTACGTGGGCACAGATGAAGTGTAATGTTTATTAGTGTATATTAATTATTGGAGTACTGGGTTCATAGAAGGGTTTTTCGTACTTACAACATACTTTGAGATGTCCGCCGGCAGTCCTCTCCCTTACTGCCCTTACTCTTCAGTGTACCTGGACATGTAGTTTCTGAGTCATGACATACACCCATCTTCAACTTTATCAGATATTTCCAAGTTTCTCTCAAAAGCATACAACTTTTTAGCTTGCTATCAGCAACATGTAAGAGTCCTGCCTTCAAACATTCGCTCAGGCTTTCACAGAAAGCACATTGGCCAAGCAATGGCCGTGACTCATCCACATGGCTGACACAAACAATCTGAGGTACAGGATCTCAAGATAAATCCTGAGGGGATTTCACTGACCTTATCAGACCCAAAAGATACAACTCTTGTTGCATAGGTCCTGCTTTACCTTGGTCTTAACCACCCAGCAGAAAAGTATAAAAACGAAATATAAGAACTAAAGCCATGCTGTTATGTTGAGCTTTAGGGGACTCAGGTCAACAATTTCTGACATTGCCAGTGAAGCAGAAGACCCAGTATTATTAGGGACTAATGAACTCTTTTGGATTATTTTGCTGAGTTAACACACCTATAATATTCAAATAACAGAACTTAACAAAAAAAAAAAACGCTATACAGATGAATGTCCATTTTGTATCTGTGTATTCAAGGTGGTTGGGATAGATATATAGTTACATTCTCTTAATGAATAGAATGATTTGTTCTAATGGTGTTTGTAGATAGGATATCATGTCCACATCTTGTACAGCAATTAACCACTGGGAGGAATGTATGCAATGTGTTCATTATTGAAACTGTCCTACCAATTTGATTTGAAAAAAAATGAATTCATTAACTATGAAAAAAAAAGAATCCTGCCTTCTTGCCAAAACTTTTTCATTTGTAACTTTCTGTTGTATATATTTCATACAAAAATGTAAACTATTAAGCATTTTACATATTTTAAATAACTTTAAGTTAATTCATTTCAGTGCTGGGAAGATAGCTCAGCAGCATAAATACCTGCCTAACAGGTGAAAGGTGCTGAGTTCACCCGTGGTAAGAAACAAACAAACTTAATTCATTTAAATTACATGAGTTTGCTGAGTCACAGAAATTAATAATAGGTGCATTTTTCCTAACCTATGAGGATATCAAAGTCTGGAGAAGTTCATTTGTATCATTTCAACCTGAAAATGATCATGGGGTCAAAGGAACACAGAAAAGCCTCTGAAGGTCCTGATGCTTGAGGGTGGCCCAACACAGAGTGAAGTGTCTGAACAGAGAGGGAATCGGGGAACCCGGAGGCCCAGTACCGGCTGGGCCACTTCCTAGCAGGGGGACCTCATTCTCCTCAAGTGTAAAATTAGAATGCTATCTAGGGAGGCTGCTCTGAAGCCGGCACAAGATGAATGCAAACACAACACCCAGTCCTGTGCCTGGCACCCAGCGGGCGCTTGACAGATGCCATCTTCTACCCTCTGGGAACTTGAAATGAAGAAGGTAATCTGCTTTGAAAATTATCAGGCATGATGCAAATAATGTGAATTTTAGTTTTCCCGTTCATATTCATGCAATGACTGCCTCCCTCTCTTTATCAGCTGAACACCCTGAGTTTCAGGAGAGGAAGCGACAGCCCAATGTCCAGCAGCTGGTGAGGGGCGTGGTGGGGTGCCCGTCACTACCGCCGACTCCCCGGCACTCGGCACTCTCACTTCTGCCCTTTTTCCTTCCCAGCATTGTCCTTGCAGTCACCTCTCCAAGTCCCTCCTTTACTTGCAGCCATCTGTCAATAACTAAGCTTGGCAGCAGGTCTGGCCCTCCAGCTGCTTGCATAGCGCTGCTTTGTCTTGTTCATAAAAATCCAGAAGCCTTGCCATCCACACCATCATCGGGGGGCCCAAAGCCTTGCACTCACCTCTTTGGTGGGCAGTAGACAGAGGGTGAGGTCTCCACCTCATTTTACAGATAGAGACTGGGGCATAGAGGAATGCAGTGGATTGCTTGTGTTTTCTCTGATGACACTCTTTCCTAGAAAAGAATATTTGGACAGTGCCCAGTTCATTCTCAGTACTACCCTTTAGATTTCCAAATACATGTTTGTTCCTTGGCAGGAGTTTCAGTGCCTACTCACTGCCTTTCCACAAGCAACTGTAGATTCCTTAGTGTGGCATCCACAGCCCACCATGATGCGGCCCTCGCCAGGTCCTCTGGCCTCAGCCGAACCACAGTTCAGCTCCACACAGCCAGCCTCCTGAAGCTTGACCCCTGTGTCCCATCCCTGTCACTTGCCTGGCTCCCCCCAGCTCACAAATGTCCCATTATAGGCCTCCCTGACTCATTTCTGCTAGCGCTGGTTTCTGCCTATCTTGTGTGCTGATGGCTGACTTTCTTCCAGAAAAAAAAAAAAAAATTATAATAACATAATTTGTTAGGGGTTTTTTTTTTGGTCTTTTCTATTTTTTTATCAGCAAGCAAAATAACTAAAAACAAACCACAACAACCTTAAAGTTGAAGCAGCAGTAAGTCAAATTGCTGTGGTGTTCACGGATGTGCCAGGCTTCGTGCTCTCTCACTGGGAGGCAGGACGCAGGCACACGGCTGTGACTTAGGTGTACATGTGACTGAGAAGAATCAGAAATGGAAACCACCAGAGAAGAGAAAGCATCAAGAACTTTCCTTCGCACAATCCCAAAGCTCTCTGCTCTTTTCCTTTTCTTTCCCTCCGTATCCTCTGTGGTTCCACTTCCTGCTGAACTTGGGAGAATCCCAAATCACTCCTTCCTCTTTTTCAGCTTCTAATCATCTTCAGATTTTCTAGAGATGGAAGAGACATTCAAACCAAATCTTTGTGCTCCTTCCTTTAGCTCATCCAGGTTAACTATAGGCTTGGTAGCAGACTGCAAACCTTTCGTTGGAACTGAGGAAATACCAAACCTGGTTGCCGTGCTTTCTAAGCTCGCAGGTACATTGAATCATTCAGCCCGCTTTCTCTCACTCTGTGGCATCTCAGATGCAATTTTTACCCCTTTTTCTCTGATGCCATGTCAACAGTGTTTTTAGGAGGTTCTTCCTCTTTCATAGGCAGCTTGACAAGCCTTGGTTCTTCTTCCTGTTTCATCTCCCGGTTCATCTTCTTCATTTGCCTCCTCTCCAGCATGCCCTTCAGGATATGCCTGGAGCCTGTTGAGGAGATTTTGTTTTACTCCTTTGGTCTCTAAACCACATGCAAGACATTCTTGCTTTAGTTCAACAAGCTTCAGTTTGTGAAGCTCCACCATCTCCATCGCCATCTTGTTATCCTAATAGCATAATGTGTTAACCAACTGGCTTTCTGTCACTTTCCACACTTTCCATGTCTGGAGAATGGGGTTATCTTCTTTATCATGTGGGGCTTTTGGGAGGAAAAAAAGCTATGTTGATTTTGGTTTACTAAAACCAAGGTCACACAGTCAGTGGACACCGGAGGAGGGCTTTGATCTTGGATCCGGCCAACACACCAGCCTGTACATGCTCCTTGTTCCACTCAGAGAGAGGAAGTGTTAGAAGGGTTTGCACATGGAAGCGTACTGGCATTTTGCATCTGGAGAGACAGAGTTCTAGCCATTCCACAATGATTAATGTACATCTCATATATACGACGTGACTAGGGTATAAGTCCCGTTCTAAGCGCAGTGCAATTTCTTACCCGAAGTCACAGGATGCATTCGTGACAGTGACTCTGGAATCTGTGTCCCCAAACCAGTTTCTTCTCTTTCCCTGCCTCTGTTCCTCTCCTTTGAGACACATAATTCATCCTTTCCTGAAGCAGCATAATAGAAGCATTATTACCCCACACTGGGTCTCAGCCACCTGGGGACAACTTAGACCAAGCCGTGCACCTGGAGCTTTCCTTCCTCCCTGGTCAGCTTTCTGCTCAGCCCGTCCCACTCTAGCTGGGGAAGGCAGGTCTGCAGG